CTCTCCTCCATGGTGTGTAAGTTAATGAATAATTCGTGACCAACATGAGAATGTCTGGGAAGGGGAGAACTGGGATTGCTGAGTGAGATGAGGGGGAAGTAGCCTCTGTGGGGTGTCTCCTTCCCCAGAGAAAGTTCCTTTCTTTTTGGCTTTTCCTGGTACTTTACTGGAGAGGAGAGGCAATACTGCAGGATGTTAAATCTGAATAATAGAAATTTACTTGTGGATGGTGCAAACAGTAAAAAAAATAAATCATAATTCAACTGTATTGAGAACAGCAGGAAGGCACAGAGACAGTCTCTTTGCAAAGGCAGGGTGCAAGTTTAAGGTTGACAGCCTACTGTCCTTTAAAGTCAACTGGGCAAACATCTTAGAATTGATAGTTTCTTGGTGCTTACTAGCACACTTCAGGTATTCACAGGAATGGTCTGGGCAGGTAGAGGTTGGAGAAAGGTCACAACTTGGCTGAGACACACTTACTTGAGTGTGGTTTGTGTTTTGGTTTTGTCTGTAATTGAAGGGGAGAGTGATAGAGAAGTAAAAAGCCATAGTAAGCACACACATTTCTGTATGTTCCTGTAAAGGAGCAGGAGCACTTTTGGCTTGTTTAACGACTTGTGTCATAGAATCATAGAACCATTAAGATTGGAAGGGACCTTAAAGACCATCAAGTTCCAACCCCCCTGCCATGAGCAGGGAACGCAACCACTAGATCAGGTTGCACAAAACCTCTTCCAGCCTGGCCTTAAAAACCTCCAGGGATGGGGCATCAACAACCTCCCTGGGCAACCTGTTCCAGTTCCTCACCACCCTTATAGTGAAGAATTTCTTCCTAATATCTGACCTAAATCTCCCCTCTCTCAGTTTAAAACCATTACCCCTTGTCTTATCCCTATCTTCTCTGATGAAAAACCCCTCACCAGCTTTCCTGTAGGCCCCTTCAGGCACTGGAAGGTGCTATAAGGTCTTCCTGGAGCCTTCTCTTCTCCAGGCTGAACAGCCCCAATTCTCTTAGCCTGTCTTCATGGCAGAGCTGCTCCAGGCCTTTGGTCATCTTGGTGGCCCTTCTCTGGGCCCTCTCCAACAGCTCCATATCTTTCCTGTGCTGAGGGCACCAGAACTGTACACAGTATTCCAGGTGGGGTCTCACCAGAGCAGGGTAGAGAGGCAGAATCCCCTCCCTGGCCCTGCTGGCCACACTTATTTTGATGCAGCCCAGGATGCAGTTGCTCTCTGGGCTCCAGCACACACTGGCAGCTCATGTCGAGCTTCTCATCCACAACCACCCCCAAGTCCTTCTCCAGCCATTCTCCCCCCAGCCTGCATTTGTGCCTGGGGTTGTGCTGACCCAGGTACAGAACCTTACACTTGGCCTTGTTGAACTTGATGAGGTTGGCACTGGCCCACCTCTCCAGCCTGTCAAGGTCCCTCTGGATGGCATCCCTTCCCTCTAGGGTGTCAACCCCACCACACAGGTTGGTATCATCAGCAAACTTCCTGAGGATACACTCAATCCCACTGTCCATGTCTCCAACAAAGATGTTAAACAGCACTGGTCCCAGTACTGACCCCTGGGGGACACCACTCATCACCTGCCTCCATTTGGACATTGAGCCATTGACCACAACTCTCTGGGTGTGGCCATCCAGACAATCTCTTATCCACCAGGTGGTCCATCTGTCCCCACAGTTTTACCAATACAGCTGTTCTGTAGGTGAAGTGGGATGCAGAAAACAGACACACACACACACACCCAGGAAGGCTTTTGGTGGCTGTGCCTTGATAATGACTGTGTTTCTGGCATCCCACAGCATCTGAGCAGGAAAACTCATTGTCCGTGTTCAGACGGAGAACGGAGTGAAGGCTGGAAGAACATGAGAAGGAGTCAGAACATGGAAGCTTTTTCCATACACAGATTAAATCAACTTTTAAATGCATAAGACATGAAGTCCTTGAAAACAAGCTCAAAGCTGGCTTGTTCTTAAGGAAATGTATCAAACAGGCTCTGGATAAAAGCACCGTGACCAATGTTGGGCTTGCCAAGAAGGCAAAGGTAGAGAGAGCTCACATTTAAATGTGCTTTTAAAATTAGATTATGATTTAAATCTGAATTTTTAGATGCAAAGAAATGAACTTGCTATAATATGAACAAATTGCCTTACTTTAGACAATTTTTAATGTACTCAGACATCACAGTAGCAATGTGCAGTCACACCGCTTGATTCAGCTTCAAGTTCATTGTGGTTCTTCAGCAGAAAGCTCAGAAAAAAAAAACCTGTAGGAGTAATATTTCTCCAAGGCTACAGCCAGAAATGTCAAACAACTGCACTATTTTTAAAAATAACAGAAGTAATTGTGGAGGAGGATAAAGTACCTACTTTAGACATGAGGAAAATACTACATTATTATCAAAAAATAGCTTCTATTTTGAAGTTTAAATGTTTCATCTTCATTGTTTCTTACATCATTATCTGGATCTTCAAAAACAAAGCATTATTGTCATAGTAAAGCCTAAGAGCAATCAAATTATCAACTTAGTAGCCAGCCTTTCTTCTTCCAAAATTGGAAGCCCTCTTTCTTCAAAGAAGGTTGAATCTCAGATGCTTAAGTGTGCTTCCTTCACAGTTCTGTGTGTTGAACATGGTCTCAAGCTTCTCTGTGGTGGTTTTTGCCATTGTTACGGATGGTTTTTCAGACAGAGAACCTAAAAGGGGTAGGAATGGAACCCAGATGGGAGTATTATTCTAGTTCCCAAATGACAGGAGGAGCTGAAATAGTTCACCAGATCACTTTTTCAGTGTCCTGAAACCTTAGTCATATTCAAAAGGTGAAAGTGTAATTTGAGGACTAAGTTGTTGTTATTCACCATATAAATATGTCTAGCAAGTTTAGCATGAGCCCAAACTGGGCCATGGGTGTGCTTGTCTGTTAGCTGGCAAGGTGTGTTTATCCTCCCTTGCTTACCTGACTCCATGGATAGTTACAAAGAGTCTGTTAGTCTGAAGTACTGCACTGCATCTTTTTTTGCTGTCTGTTGCCCTTGGATCAGGGTCAGAGACAAGTCTGTGCACTTCGGTGAGCACTGCAGTGGTTTCTGAGCCAGCTGCCTGATTGAGCTACAAGAAATGGAGAGGGAGAGAGAGACACTCATCTGGGCTCTTCAGTCTTAATGCTGTCCTAAAAATGTGTGCTTTGTTCATCATGCAGTGCATCCCAAGAAGTTTTGTTCCATGAGAACAGGTCTGTGACAGTCTTTTGAAATGTGCTGTAGCTGCTTCTGTGAGCCTCAAAGATGTGGGATAGGAGGCAGTCCTCAAAACTGTATGAGCATAAGGTTGGGAAAAAAAAAATATTCTGTGGAGATTGGCTCTTAAAATCTCCTCTTAAAAACCTGTAGGCATCGATTTTTGATTCCCAGTCAAGGTGAGGGGCTCACTAAAACTCTGTGGGGGTAGGAAGTCACATTAGTCCTCAGAGTACATTTCCAGCAATTTAAATTACCTGAACATTTTTTTATTATTACAGATGATTCTTGATCTCTCTGTTTTTTACTTTCATGGATTTCAGTCATAATGTAACATGGATTGATTTCTGTCCCTGAGAGCTAATGACAGACCCAGTTTCTTTGAAATGCTCACAGTGGTTACACTGTGTGTCTCATGCAAAGCCAAAAGACTTACTATCCAGCATAAAGCTGGCACCTAGATAGAGAGGTCAAAGCCAAATCTCTTTGGCTTCCTGGTGATTTGAAATCCAATGAAATTATTAAGATATAATAAGTGAATTAAATAAGTGAATAAGTGTACCTAAATAATAAAAAAAAACTGTGATCCTACGCAGTGAATTTTATGTTCTTCTGATTCAGAACTATTTCAATGAAGCCCTTGTTCCCCAGTGGAGGCTAAGTGGGTTGATGCAAGATTCTGGGTGCTTCCTCTTTCATTGTCCTCATCTTCATTCTGCTCAGCACCTGGGGGGTCAGGGGCTCAGTGAGAGATTGCTGGCTAATAATGTATGACTGGTACCAAAAAGCATTTATCTGAGCAGAGCATTTGAAAATCAAGTCAGATTCTCTCTAGCAACCTGTAGTTTTTTGTTTGGTTGGTTTTTGTGTTGTGTTTTGTTTTGTTTGTCTATTTTTTTGTAGATTGAGTGACATTGCATTATGTTGTTGGACAAGTTTGTGCTGATGTTTTGGTCTTGTCAATGGGTCGATGGACATATTTTGGAAGTCACTTCCTTTGTGTCGTGTATAGGCTGGACTTAATGTCTTAAAAGTCTTTTCCAGCCTTGATGATTCTGTGTCTTTTTGTTCTTCTCAGCCTGCTCTGGAGCAGAGCTGTCAGTAGAGGCATCCCACAGAGCTCCCAAGCTGGCATCCCTTTCCATTCTCCTTGCTAGGATCGTGGTTCACCTGTGCCTTTTTGCTCACAGCCCACCATGGATGTTCTCTGAATCTCTTTCTGTCTCAGGTTGGCGTCTTCAGTCTGTGAACTGAGAAATGTATTACACACAGAGTACACCATCTGTATGTTCTGATTTAAAGAGTTACTCTGGTGTGGATGAGTGTCAGAGGGGGTCTTTGGGTCTTAATATGCAAATGAAGTGCAACTCAAGCCATAAAAGATTCAAAGTATTCATCTTATCTTAAAGATATTTTTAAACCAGCAGCACACACAGTGTGTTGTAGCAGAACGGAGGTTGAATCCGTTTTGACCACTAGGTAGTAGGAAATGCATGGAGAGATGTTTTTCCTGATAATCCACAAAATCCTTTTGCAAGGCAATTATTAGTTGCAAAAGGGACAATGAATTGCTTTCCCTAACTCACAAATCATTGTTTGTGTGTCAATAACACACTGTTTTTATACTTGCCTTAATCAGTTCTGCAAAGTACGTTGTGCCAGTTTTCACTCTGTGGATACCTTGGATATATGTCACAGCCAGAAATGCCAGTGCCACTCCGGTGTAACTACATGTTCTCATTTTTATTGTTTCCAGGTTTATTCCGATTTATAGGGGACCAAGTCACACGTACAAGATACAAAGGCTGACAGAATCCACCTGTTACTCGTTCAGAATACAGGCAGTCAATGATGCTGGGGAGGGACCTTTTTCAGAAATATGTACCTTCTGCACAACTAAGTCAGTCCCCCCTGCAATCAAAGGTATGGAACAGATTTTATTTTTCTCATGTACAGAAGTGATATAATTAAGTAATTGGTAAATATGCAGTGAGTTTGTAAAGGTTAAGTATTCTATGAAAAATCAGTCTGTGCTGCTTGTATGTTTCTGTGAATTGTGAAGTGACCTTATGGGGGGAAGCTAAATTATCACCAAAAAAAACCAACAAAACACAACATATAAACAATATAAATATTATACCAATCACTGTTGTTATATATAAACTGTTAAAATGATGCAGCTAACAATAAAGTCTCCCAGGGGATTGCTCTGGGTTACTGCAACCCTTCCATAAGTGCCCTTCTGCCTTAAGAATATATGTGTACATACCACTGTAAAGTTGCATGTTGTTTTATGTTGTGTAGCTGATGTTCAGCTTTATTTTTACTTTGATCTCTGAAGTTAACAATTTTCTTCCACATGCATAAAGTGTTAGATTCTTTATCTTGCTTCTCATGTGTTCCCCTAGAAGAACAAAAGGCCTAATTAAATTAAGTTTTCTAGTGAAACATCTTTTACTGTGTGTAAATTTTGACCTGAAGAATTTTGCTCCATCCTTCCAAGGAAGGAAAGGCAAAGGCAATAGATTCACTATCTTGGCTGTCAGATGAGCTGAGCTGAAATCAGATGCACCTTTTATTCCTGTATGCCTAAAACTCCTCTCTCAAGCAGCACCATTTACTGAATGAAGCAGCAGCTATTGGTTGTCAGAGGGGTTTTGCTCCCTTGGCTGCATTTAAAATCTGGTTTTGATGGTTTCCACTCCATTCGTGGTGAAAGGTTTAGAGAAGGGAAAACACTACTGAGGTATAAGTTACCTGGTCCCTAGTTTTGCTGCTCAGTCACCCCCAGGAAAAACAGGACTCTCGAGCACAGGGAGAACACTGGGAGATTGGTCACTAAAATCAGTGTATGTGAGAATCCCACCTTCATTTCTACCTGGATCTGGATATTCTTGACTTTGGAATTTCCTTCAGGGCTGTTTCTGGGAGAAGATATCTGTATGTGATTGATATAAAGTTCAAGGATTAATACCCAGCAGAGACTTGTGAGGTATGGTACCCAGCAAAGCTAAGGGAGCCGGTGCTAGATCAGCCTGGCTGGCACAAGTGCTGGTAGCAGGGAGGATGTGCTTCACAGCTTTAGCATCTGCAAGTTGGCAAAGAACCAAGCGAGAAGATGGCTAAAGAAAAACAGAATAACTCAAATGCCACCAGGTCTCAGTTTGTCAACAACCTAGAACAGAAAATCAAAGGAGCAACAACAGTGTGAGCATCAGCTCAGCAGAGTTTCTCCTGGCCAGTTCCATAGGGGACAGCATCTGAGACCCACGAGAAACCTGCTGTGCACCCAGCGGGCAGCAGGAGCAGGGTTTCTCAAGCCAGGTGGGACCTGGCAACATCGTATTGATGTATATACATAAACAAGTATATATTTTTAAAAGTATATTTTTCATATATTAAAAGTATATATATTTTTAAATAGTCTTATAGATATTATAATTATATACATAGCATGTTTTATTTCAATATGTAGAAGATATATTAAATACTTTTAATACAAAAGGATACATTTCATTTATAAAAATATGTAGACTAAAATATATGAAATAGATTTAAAACCTGGATCAAGACTGAGAGCAGGCCCATTTCTAGCACTCTGAATTAAATTTTAAATCCAGTGTGACCCAATATATACCATATGAGAAAACCTCCAGCAAATTTAATTCTCTTGGCAAAGCAAAGCAAACCCTCCCCACGCTGCGGCTGAAGGAAAATCTCTTTTTGATCTTTAGGTTTCTCTAATGCTTTTAAAATCAGAGATATATATTTTTTTTAAATTAGAGATGTTAGGATTGGGAGGTATGGGGATATTTTTTCTGCTCCTTGCCTGGGCACAGATGCTGAGTCCGTGTTTCTGTTTCTTGCCTTAGCTGCCCAAAGTGGCTGAAACCAGCCAAGGGATGCTGGGCTGCACCATAGTCACAATTTCACTTTTTTTTTTTGATAGAAAACCATTTTATTAAATTCAGCTTTCACCTAGGTTCTTGTTTTGAACTTCCTGCTTGCCTAGTTAGTTCTTGTTAAGTATGACTCATCCCCTGGACTGAATATCAAGCAGTGAAGACATGGTGCAAACAGAAGGGTTGAGTGTGGGCTGGGACCACAGGTATGTTATAAAAATCTGGCTGTAATGGAGAAAAGGGCACAACAAAAGCTGTGTTAGTGAACGCTGCCACGGGGAGGTAATGCAGTAGGAAAAGAGATGTGTTGAGGCAAAATGATGGTGCTGATTCTCATCTGTGTTTGGAGCAAAAACAGGGAATGTATGTAGTAAATTTAGTACAGTTTTTCGTGTATCAGAAGCACATGGTTTTTCTCCTCATAATATCCTAGTTATTCAGTGACGCCAACACTAAAATAGCGTTATTGTTAATGGCAGTGTTTGTGTCAGAAAAATGTACATGTATCAGAGTGAGGGATGGAAGGAGGAGGGAAAATAATTGAGAACATTGTTGTCAGCTGAGATGAAGGCATCTATTATCAGTCCCTCAACACAGGCAGATGTGCAGAGAGAAGCAAATAGGTATTGATTACATTTGGGTCTGCAAGTGATTCATGTGTTCCTCTTGGGTGGTAACGAATTAGTCTGAAATTCATGTAATGCATGCAGCAGCAGCAGCATTGGGTTCTTTGATAGACTCTCCTGTTTGTTTCCTTAGGGCTGGGAATCTGTATTGCCTTTAACAAGCTCATGTCCTTGCACGTGCACACATTAGCCACTCGGGTGAAGTGTTTAGTGCTTTGCTTCTCCCAGTTTCATGTTTTAGCCATGTGCTCACTTACTCTGCCTGGTGACGAGGTCGGTGGCCGCGGATGCTGGCGCAGTTGTTTTGATGCCTTCCAGTGGCAGCTGCTCAGTTGTACAGAGAACCTGCTGAGAGAACCTGCTGCTGGGCTCTGCTGGGCTCACCCCTGAGCTGCCCATCGGGCACCATGTGGCAGCCGGGGAGAGATCCTTTCCTGAGGACAATGGCATTGCAGCAGCTGACAAAATCCCATTTCTTAGAGTTCTAGTGAAAGCACTAACCTAAGCCTGGCTGGAAACAGCAGGGCTGATCATCTGGATGTTCAGGCTCCGGATTAGATAAGAGTCCAAGTCTTTAGAATTATGCCTGTACTTTTGCTTCCCAGGCTGGAGTTAATCTCTAATACAGAGGGTGATTTAGCTTCCCTTCGCACATTCCTTCTGTTTTTCCTGAATGAAACACTTGACACGTAGCACAAGAGGAACAGGCAGGCGTCTCTGCTGGCACAGGTGTTTGCTCAGAACTTCACAAAATTGCTACTTTTATTAATGCCACTGTAACTCATGCGTTGGCTTCTGCTTTGAAAAGATCAGTGCACAGCATTGCAATTGAATTTTGAAAGTTCAAAGTGGTTTATATCATCCACTCCCCCTTTCTAGCAGCTCACACAGCTGACAGATGAGAAATGCTCTAACAGCTCTGCAGAAGTGATCTGGGTCCTACAGTACATTTCTTTGGAGCTTATTAATCAGCTCTAAATGTCACCCAGTTTTCTGTGGGTACTGTTTGTTATTGTTTAATACCACAAGAATCCTGAATTGTTTCATCAGCTAAGACTGTCCTAAAATAAATGTGACTGAATGACTTAAAATTCCAGCTTCAGTTTGACTTCTTTGGTCCATTGGTGATAACAATTTGATTTTTGGCCACATAAATACGGTACAGATTGTGTGCCTGGTGATGTCCTGAAGTTCTCTTTTAAAACTGTTCTCTTGTATATTACAGTGTACATAAAATGAAGAAGATTTCAATGCAATCTTTATATTAAATGTTAATGCATTTGATTTTATTGTAGCCCCTCGAGTGACACAGTTGGGAGGAAACGCCTGTGAAATTACCTGGGAAACTGTCCCACCTATGAAGGGGGATCCTGTTGGTTACGTTCTGCAGGTACTGGTTGGAAGAGAATCAGAATACAAGCAGGTAGGAAAATGGTCTCATTTTGATATTGCTAAATTGATGGTATAATGGAAAAGGGTTTGAACATTGGCTGTGCTGCTCCTTTGTACTGTATTGAATTACATGCTACGGTGATGCGTCATGGACTTTGGTAGAGGCTGAGTCCAAATTAAGGGCTGTAATATGTTGTTTGCTTCCCAGAGGGAGGATATAGAACATCATTATCTTATTGGAGTGATTTGCTCTCTGTCCATAGCTAATCACTATGTCTGAATGAACTAATCTTTGGAAAGTTATAATCCTGTCCACCCATGTGTTCTTCTGAAGTGCCTGGGTCTAACTGTTGTCTGAAGGTGAAGTAGGTAGATTATCCTCATTCACTAAGCCAATTTGAGGACCTAACATCAAGGATTTCAGTCAAGTACACAACTTTTATTGGGTTGTTTTCAGCCTGTTCCCATTCCTGTCTAAGGTTTCGATGCGTGGGTGAGCAAATTCTGTATATCAGCTGCCCCATAGAAGCTTGTATCTGTACTTGCACCATGAAAACACAGTGAATGAAGTATAGCTGATCCTTCTAGCCTTGTCTATCTTCATTAGGGATCACAAGTGGGTATTTCCCCAGAGCACCCAAAACGGAACAACTTGTTTGCAGCTAAATCTTTTATTTCATCTATCACACCTCTGGCTGTGTGATTTTCAGTGCACTTCATCTGTTCCCTGTCTTCCCCCTGTTCTTTCTTTCATTGTCATACAGATTTCACGTAAGTCCAAATTAGGGAATGAGATATGTTAAACCTTAAATTCTTAAAAATGTGAATAAGGTAGTACTTTGCTGCTGTTGTTGCTCCACTTTGGTCTACTTTTCAGTGTTACTGCAAATTATCTAGTTATCCAAAATAACATAAATAAATGCAAGACATCTCATGTGGGAGCTAAAGATTCAGAAGCCTAACTATTGTTTTTGTCAGGAAACATTTTTGGTGCTGGTACAGGTAATAAAACCTCCATGTACTGTGTCAGCCTCAAAATGTCAGTGGTAAGTGGATAAGTGGACCTATTTTGCTGTTTCCTGATTTACAAAGTAGCCTTGATTTATAACCTCCATGGACAGCTTTAGTAAGGATAGCTTCAGTGCTTCAATGTTCTGGGTATCCTTGGGGAGAACTGGGCACGGCTTCGTGTCCCTTTAAAGCAGGTGATGGCTTAATATTTGCAGTTAAGAAATTGTGTGTGGAAGAGCCCGGCATTAAGGCAGGTTAAAAAGTACCTTTGGGGTCTTATGTTGAAGATCTTAATTTCTCTAGGTTAACGGTTTGACTTGGTGATCTTAAAGGTGTCTTCCAACTACAATAATTCTATGATTCTCATGAAGCATGACCCTGCTGAGAGGTGTTTTGTTTGAGTTTTCACAAGCTCTGGACTGGAACACTCAAAGCTGATGGTGACTTCTGTAGTTGGGCTGGCTAATAACCAGCTGTGGAAAAAGAGGGAGAATTCCACTGTGTTATGGTCTCAGAAATCAGTTTTACCCATCCAGATTATTTATTTTCATCACAAATGTGGGATTTGTCTCAGCACTGGGGCACGTCACTGGCTGACTGTCCATTGGATGGACTGTTTTAGCTCCTGATAGACCACTTTGGTCTACTTTTCAGTGTTACTGCAAATTATCTAGTTATCCAAAATAACATAAATAAATGCAAGACATCTCATGTGGGAGCTAAAGATTCAGAAGCCTAACTATTGTTTTTGTCAGGAAACATTTTTGGTGCTGGTACAGGTAATAAAACCTCCATGTACTGTGTCAGCCTCAAAATGTCAGTGGTAAGTGGATAAGTGGACCTATTTTGCTGTTTCCTGATTTACAAAGTAGCCTTGATTTATAACCTCCATGGACAGCTTTAGTAAGGATAGCTTCAGTGCTTCAATGTTCTGGGTATCCTTGGGGAGAACTGGGCACGGCTTCGTGTCCCTTTAAAGCAGGTGATGGCTTAATATTTGCAGTTAAGAAATTGTGTGTGGAAGAGCCCGGCATTAAGGCAGGTTAAAAAGTACCTTTGGGGTCTTATGTTGAAGATCTTAATTTCTCTAGGTTAACGGTTTGACTTGGTGATCTTAAAGGTGTCTTCCAACTACAATAATTCTATGATTCTCATGAAGCATGACCCTGCTGAGAGGTGTTTTGTTTGAGTTTTCACAAGCTCTGGACTGGAACACTCAAAGCTGATGGTGACTTCTGTAGTTGGGCTGGCTAATAACCAGCTGTGGAAAAAGAGGGAGAATTCCACTGTGTTATGGTCTCAGAAATCAGTTTTACCCATCCAGATTATTTATTTTCATCACAAATGTGGGATTTGTCTCAGCACTGGGGCACGTCACTGGCTGACTGTCCATTGGATGGACTGTTTTAGCTCCTGATAGAAGAACAGAAGATAAAATACATCAAGTTCTTTCATTGATTTTCTGGCTAATGGATTTAGCATGCATGTGATCACTTCCTACTCTTTAGCTGAAAAGCAATTTTAATGATATGTTAATTACTTTTTAAGTGCAAGTCCTAAATTGACTCCTAAATCTGTTTTGTTCCCTGTAAGTGATATATATATATTGCATATGTATCTCAAGGGGCATATTATATTAGAAACGTTTTGCAAATTGTTTTGAAGGCTTGCCTGAAAATCTACAGTCTTTTTCATTTGTGCAATCTTTCTCACACCCATGAGAAAGAGCAGTGTCTTTAGTGACTGGAGTTTCTGTAGCAATCACTGGTACATCTTGCAAGAACCAGGGACAGTATAGCTGGATAAAAAGGAGAAAAATAGCTGCATGAAATAGTTTGTCCCACTAGCTTGGAAATAAATGCAACAAATTGCTATTTCAAGCTTTTTATGGGCTGAGCAGGAGTTCCCATCACATGTAGTGTTGCTCATCCTCAGGTGCTTCCACCTTCATTCACCCTCCAGGACACAGTTCTCTCTGTTCCGTGGCAGGTTTTACACCAGCCCAAGAACATGAGAAGAGTTTCATAGAATAAAAATCCACTTTTAAAATGGCCTTAAAATTGAAACCTTTCAAGTAATGCACATATAAAGCTGTTTCTCTGTTACAAGGCTGTAATGCTGTCAACAGATCACCTTGTTTACAGCAGTTTAAAGGCAAGACCTTGAACAGTTTTAACTAGGAAAACCTTAACAAATTCAAGGAACTGCATCTCCCTGTCTAGTCTCAGTGACCAAAATCTCTTCATTTTATGATAAAGCCCTAATTCTTGCTTTCAGTGTTTAGATGAGTAAAAGCTTAGGAGTGTAACTTCATGTGCAAATATCTCCTGGAGCAGAACAAACCAATTAAAAGGTAAAGCATTTCCAGGCATTACCACCTGTAGTAGTGACTGCATGGCAGAAATCAAGATGATGCACATCAATCTACTTTTTCTTTAGGCAATAGAAGAATGTTTTATATATTTATGTGTTTCTCCCCCAGGAGATTTTTACAAAGATACTGTTATTCTGACAAACATATTAGGAAGATGACAATATGCTTTTTGTGGCTGAGCAGTCATACTGCATTAAATATTTTAAACTGGTGTGATGTTGTCCTAGTAGCAAGGATGTTCTGTGCTTTACGTAGTAGATTTTAGTCTTTTCATCCAAATAAAAGCTTGGAAGAGGAAGATGCTGTCATTGTGGAAACTGAATTAGAACTTTATGATGAGTGTGTTTGTCAATAACAGTTTACCTCCCTAAAAAGCGTGTTAAAGTACCAGATACTCCTTTTTTTGTTTCTTAAGCAATGTGTTCCTCTTTCTGTATTTGTGTGCTGTATCTATTTGGATACTTCAAAAAGCAAGGGCATTATGACATTACAGGGTTTTTTAGGAAATCAGATTTTCCTTATTTATGAATCAAGATGAAAATCATGGCAGATTGCAGGAATTGGTGGCCCAGGTCTGTCTTTCCGTTTCTTGCAGTTTCATCTAGCAAAGCTTATTCAATTAGAACTTAGCTTTCAAGTGTGTTAAAATCGTCTCCATTTGCATAGCTTCAATCTGGAGCTCAGGGAACAGGCTGGATTGTGCAGCCAGGAACTGAACCTTGGGAGGACAGTCATAACACTCGGTTTTAGTTGAGGTGCTCTGGGGATCAAATCACGAGCTCTTCCTAAGTGCTATCCATGGGAAATGAGGGCTGAATTTTAAAGCTTCTTTTTCCTTAAATTGTTTGCCAGTGAGGCAAAATGTTCTGCCTTTGAAATTGCTGAGCGTTTTAGAGACAATGATGTTTCATCAGCTTCTGCCACAGCTTTTCTGGGAAAAAAACTGTCCCCAGATGCTTTCCAAAAGAAGAAAAGGTATGGGTAGGGTACACTGGGTGTGTGAAATCCCCCCAGCAATGCAGTGGAACCCCTGCTGGAGTCTGCACCAAGAGGTGGATGCCTGGGAGAATCTGGTTGGTCTTACCAAGCTCTAATTTTTGTTATTGGTTTTTCTTTGTTTCACAGTGTAGACACAGCATCTCTGAAGCACACTCGGTGCACTGTTAATTTGTGTAAGTCAGCAAAAAATGTTTTCCTTCTCTATTTAAGTAGCAAGCCAAAGGCCCTTCTACTGGTGGCGTGCCAAAATACAACATAACTACAGTCTGTGTTGGCATTTATTATTAGTGCTACTTGTCTTTAGCATTTTCTCTGCTTCCTGATGCCAGTTTTGTGTCACGAGACATTGTTAGAGGGTTTCAGTGCAGCTCACCTCACAGTAGGTGATCTGAGAGACTCTAATGTGCTTTGTTGAGGAGCCAAGGCTGTCCCCACAACTCCATAGGGTTGATGAGCATCTCAGCACTGGAGCAAGGGAAGCTCATTTTGAGTCTGGATAAAATAATAAGCCCAGACAGTTTCATAAAGAGAAGTATGTCAGATAAGTCAGAAGAAACTGAACCTTTTATGCTTTCTAAGTAGATTGAAATCTGCCTCTAGTTCTTGATCTTCCTCTCACCAAACAAAATAGGCCTTTATTCATTATTAAATACACTGGTCATTGCAGTGGGATGCAACAACCAGCTAAGGTTATCTTACACTTTCCAGTGTATCTCTTATAGGGCAATCATGGCTATCATTTTTATTATTTGGAAAAGATGGAGAGGGTTTGGAATTATTTAATGACACTGGTGAAATTGAGAAATACTTGCCCACAGGAGATCTCTGAGCTGTCTGACTTGATCAATAGGAGCAAATGCCATAAGAGGCTTCAGCAGCAGTTTATTACTGGTGATGATATTTTCATTGAGGGAGCCAGGCAAAAAGCTCATAATGTTTTTATTATATTGTCAGTTACCTAAGCAGGAAATATGTTTTTTGGAACTGAGAGTGGTAAATTGGGTAGCCACTTTACTTTGACTTGTTGGCCACAAAGCATAATGTGCTATATATAAAAAAACCATGCTGCTTTATACAGTCATATCTTGGGTTTAATGTTTGTTTAGCAAATTTAAAGACCGTGTCAGACTTAATTTTTTCTTCCTCTCTCTTGTGTATGGGAAGTCCATTCGTGGAGTGTAGCTATTTTCACAACTAAGCATTTAGCTTTGGGCTGAGGGCATCCTTCCTGGGCTTAGCCTGGTCCTACAGGTGGTCCTGCAGACAAACTGGGGCTGGAGCCAGGAGTCTCTCTCAGGTGCCCCCTGAGCCTGTTGGGGGGATGCAGAGGCTGCTGGCAGAAGTGAATGGTAATTAAGCACAACAATTTTTTTACATTTTACTGAGAAAGGACATAGATCCACTGGTGCTAAATACTCATCCAGCCAGTGAAAGCAGGACAGTGCCCACCACCTTCCTAGCTCTAGTGCTAGAAATGTGATGTCTTTATCACGAGTGAGTATTGGCACATGTATTCAGTGCACTTTTGATTGTTTCTCAGACTTGAGTCACACACTCTTCTCTCACTCAACTGCCTGGCTGTTTTCTGAGAAGTGCTGTTGACTACCTGGCTTGAGTGAACTCCATCATCTGTACCTATTAGACTGTAATGAAGATACAAGTCTTTGATTTAGCCAAACTTAGCCTCCAGTTACACTGGTATTCACCACCCTGACAGAAGAAAACAAGTAAAAAAGCTATTAACTGGGCAGGTTTTTTCGATGCAAAGACAGGTTGTACATATCCCATCCCTAGTAGTCTAATAAATGTAATTTCTGAAGACTAGATTATTATTTTTTTTATTAAAAGTCATTATTTCAATTTGACTGTGCTTATATTTTGTTTTAGAAGCTGTCATATTGGTTGCAAAGATTCAATTAAGTCAAAGGCATTTAAACTCTCCTGGTTATAAATTTTTAAAATTAAATTAATGATCACACAAGCACCAGAAAACATACCTTGTGTACAGTTGCTGTGTAAGGGTAGAGGCTTTGGGTTCTCATGTCTCAGACTCTAATGAAATGGGGGTTGGGTAAGTCTTCCACGTGAAGAAATCCTGACTCGAGTCCTATGGAAAGAGCACATCCTTTTTTAATTACTCACTGAGCCTACATTTACCTGCCAAATGCACACAGCTTTTCTTCACAAGATCATTGATCTTTGGGAGTAAGCTGAAGCATTAACCACCTACAGGCTGGAGCTGTTTCAGCCTTCACATTATCTCTCAGGGCTGCTGCAGCGCTTGCAGTTTTGTTTTCTCTGCAATTCCTGTATTGCTGTGACTTGCTGGCTCCTCCTTGGCGTTGGGGAGACAAGCAAAGATGGCAAGAAGGGCAACAGTGTGCAGAGCTGTGGTTAATCACAGAGATTTACACTGTGGATTTGTTGTAGTCCAGTCACTTGAGCAATGTCCTGTGAACACTGAGCTACTTTAGGAAGCTAAAATAATTTTGGTTAAACATTGCTGCTTGGTTTATGCCTTGAGGCCAAGAAACATGAGCCAGTTAAAGGACTTGTACTTGGTCTGGAAACTCAGAGCTACCATCATTCAAACTGTATTTGGAAAAACTGAGAGTTTAAAGGAAGGGGAGAGAATGAATGGAAGAAAAACCTTCATCTGTTGTCCTAGACCCTCTCAACAACTGTCTTTTTCACTGAGCAGTAAGTCTCAGGGGCAAGCATAGGCTGGAAAGCTGGATCCTTGAAGTGGTTTTTAGGTGAGCATATTTCTTTTTTTTTCTCCTGTATTTTTTAACTCCACAGGAAGTCCTCCATCAGCTCAGGTATGATTTCCTTCTTGTTACCCTGAGAGTGATGCTCTCAGTCTTCTGCTTCCTCAGCAGGGAGAAGGAAACCAGCTGAACAGGCAAAGGAAGGAGTATGTGAAGTTCAGGATTCCTTTCTTTTTTCCCAGCAGGCACAGGCACTTGAGCCTGACACGTTCTTCATTTCATAAAACACCACTTTCAACAACCCTCCATTGCATAAATGATTGACTACCTATTTGTTTTCAGAGCTCATCGATGTTTCCAGTGGTCTCTTCTCATTTAAGGCACAAAACTCTCTTACATTTCCAGTTCTCTCTCTTCTGTCTCCCGTGGTGACTCATGCTCTCTGAGTCATGCGGTTCTGACCTTCGATTCATGTAGATACGGGATGGGTTTAGATTGCAGAAGAACCAAACACAGTGCAGCCAAGCAGAGCTTTTTTTGTACCCTAATAATATTTTCTTGTTTACACCATTCTGAAAATGTAATTTCTGGCAAAAACTACTGACTCTTGAGAGACTTGTGAAGAAAGTACAGTAAAGTAGTATTTGTAACCAATTTTAAGATGATACAGCGAGTGTCTCCCTATAACTTTGATTTGCAGGTTTTCTTCTTTTTGGGCCAAACATGGTGCTTATGTCTTAGACATGTTTTAGGCATTTAGCCACATTTTAGGAGGAGAGAAATATGCTTGGAGTATTTCTCATGCCCACAAAAGATGAGTATGCCTTCTGGTTGTCTGAAGTCTTGCCTGCCTTTGTGTGCATTGATGCTATTGAACGCTCCTTACTGAGACCTCTCATGGTAGCCAGGGGAGGTCAGTCTCCTTTCCCTAGGAGCAAGCAACAGGACAAGAGGAAATGGCTGCAAGTTGCACTGGGCAGGTTTAAATTAGATATTAGAAGAAACTCCTTCATCCAAAGGATGATCAAACACTGGACCAGGCTTCCCAGAGAGGTGGTTGAATCACCATCCCTGGAGGTGCTGAAAAGACATGGAGATGTGTGAGGGACTTGACTCAGTAGAGTTAGGTTGACAGTTGATGTGTTCGGTTAATGGTTGGACTCAATTATCTTAAAGGTCTTTTCCAACCAGAACAATTCTGTCATGGTTGAACATCTCTTACATAGTCCTTCACATGCCTCAATCTTTCCAAAACCTGCACTGACCTAGAGAGTTCTTCCCTTGAGAGCTTCAGTGATGTTGCTTTGCAAGACTCGGACTTAACTTGCTGGCCGACATCCCTGCAACATGAAACGTTCCTGTGTTCCTAATGGTTTGATGCTGTGAGAGGAGGAGGTTGTCTTGCTCTTTGTATTTGACTCTGCTCACTGTTTTGTTTTGAAGGTGTACAAGGGAGAAGAGACCACATTCCACATCTCAGGCCTTCAAGTCAACACAGACTATCGGTTTCGCGTCTGCGTCTGCCGCCGGTGCTTGGATACCTCACAGGAACTGAGTGGACCTTTCAGCCCATCCGTTGCCTTTATGCTTCAGCGAAATGAGATCATGCTTGCAGGAGAAGTGGGAAGCACAGATGATCCTAAGATCAAGAGCATGATTGCTACTGATGAACAGTTTGCAGCCCTTATTGTTCTTGGCTTTGCAAGTTTGTCAATCATATTCGCCTGTATATTACAATACTTCTTTATGAAGTAGAGAATTCCATGGAAGTTTGAGATACAAATTTAACTAATGCTACGCATTATAATCCACACATTTATTCAGATATTCCTTTTTTTTTTTAATCCTTTTGTTCTACCATACATTTTATATACTTCTCTCGTTTTTACAGTTCTAGCTTGAAGAAAGATAAATCAGTGTTTTGATGCACCTTTTTGAAATTCAAAACTAGGAAGTGGTCAAACTGGAGAAAGACACAAACCAGACACCAAAAGCAAGACTTTTTTTCCTTCACAGTTAGTTTCAAAATTGTCACCAATTTGCCTTTTCAATGTTGTTTTTGGTTTTCTTCACTGAAGTTCTTACAGTCTCTTATTTTATCCTACTATTTAGGAAATTTTACTCATGAGTCACCTTTTTGTCTCTTCTTTTTCCTTCTAAACATTAGTCACGAGTGTGTAGTGGTAAGCCTAGAATACAGTGTTAGTCAACAGTACCAGGTTTTCCATGAACAGTATTAGTAGTGTTGCCTATTAATTATTCATTACATTTGCCCCAGGTTTTTTTAAGATGAAACATAAATTGTTACTTTTAACTGTTTAGTGCATTTAAATCGGAACAATATCCTGCAGTCAAAAAATCTTTTTAATTGTTATTTTTACACTTACAACACTATAAACTGCCTGTATGAGAAATCAAGTAACCAAACTGCATATAAATTGTGAAGCATTATAGTTGTTTTTTTTACCATTTTGATTCCTAGCAGTAATTTTAAGTAAGAGGGCATTGTGCAATAGTTAGTTATTCCCATGTTCAGCTATTTAAAAGCTGCTTTAACTTGTCTGTCACTGTATATAACTATTCCTGATCTAATGCTAGATATTATTCTGTTGTGTTCAGCCTGATTTATATGATTGGAGCTGGTGACAGCTTACTGCCTCTACTGAACTAGGTGAGATTTACTCTCAGTGTAAGCAAACTTTACTGTCAGTTGATTTTTTTAATTATTATTGTTGTTATTATTTGGAGGGGGAATCCATTTGATGGAACTTTTTTGGAGGTATCAGAAATGAGATCTGTTATTTTAAATATCTTAAATGGGTGCCGGTGCTGTTCTTACCACAGGGCTAATTGAAATAACTTGGTACATGGCAAAATTCAGACCAGAGTCCTGCTCTGATGGGAATGTCCCCCCTCCTTCTGCCTGCCCCTTCCAAGATACTCATTTTAATCCAACAAGATGCTAGGATTTTAACTCTTCAGTCATTGGATTATTTATATTAAGTCAACATTGTGCGAGTACCTCAGGGACATAAATGAGCTGGAGGTGCAAATAGATTCCAAAAGGGTGCAACAGACACAGTGTATTTCCCTGCCTCTTGTTTTTGTATATTTTTGCTACTTGGTTTGGCTTTTGTCCTGGCTATTTTGTGCTCTGTCTCCATCGTCTTAAGATTCAGTGTCCTGTACTAGCATCATATTCCCTTAACCAAAGTAATGGGGAAAAAACAACATTATTTTTGTTTTAGGTTTATTTATACTATATACTGCATACAGTACTTTAAATACCAATTACAGTGCAATCTTTTATTTATTGTAAAAAAAAATAAAAAATAAAAAGTGTACTTATGTACTAATCCCCCTCCCCCCTCCCTGTAGCATGTTATATTTTGTCTGTTTTATACTGTTGTACTTTAGATCAACTTTTTACCTGGCAGCATTCCTAGTATTAATAATCTTCTTACATTTTCTTGTCTTTTTGAAGATGGGAGCATCTAGTACATTAAATGCCAAAAAAACCCCCATTATCAGTGATTGAAACGTTTACATGTATCCAAAAACATAATCATCTCTGGAAAGAAAGTGCTAAGATCAATGAATTATTCTGTGTGCCTCTCTAGATGTAGCAAATATTAGAAATGTTCTGTATTTTGTTATTGACTATAATTAGTTTAATTTAGCCTTGCAAACTAATGGCATTGAGCTAAATATATCTATTTTTTTTGTTCTTGCCAAAGTCATGGCTTGTAAAATTTATTTACATCTTATTTAAATTTATTTGTGATACGAAACTTTGTGACCTTGCATCTGTATTTTGTGAGCAAAGCATATGCAGCTGTCTTCAATGGAGGAGAAAAGAGTGTAATTTAAAAAAAACAAAAACAAAAAACCAACACTGAAAAGTGGCTAGTTTGGAAACCCAGAAATTGGATTAGATTCCCTTTTTATTTTTTAACTGTTATTTCAGCAGTGCTGCTATGAAATCCAAGCTTGACACCTCTTTTTTTTTAAAAAAACCCAACACTTTAATTAAAAAAAAAAAAAAAACAACCCACCTTGCTTTATATGATTTCATCGATTTTGGGAGTTTGAAATACAAATGATACTAAAAGCAGGGAGCAGAAGTGTAGAGAAAAGCAATCAGTTACACTTGAAGCATTTCTGTCCTTGCTCCTTTGTTTAGTGCCCCTTACCATCCTGCTGAGGAGACCACCCAGCCCAGCCCTGAGGGTGTCAGCTCCAGGATTCTCCAGGAGGTGGGACAGGCTCTACATAAGTTAATTTGACATTATTTTAGTTTGTATATTCTGCCATAGTGATTTGTCATTCATACATTAGCAATCAGATCAAGCATCCCAGGTCTCACACCCTCCTGGTTTGATCTCCACCACCACCTTCCCTCTTCCCATCTTTATGCCTTTGGTCCAGCCGTGTCAGGCATCAAATCCAACCCGAGGGCTCTCTGCTCTGAAAGAAATGAAACAAAAAGGTAGAATGAAACACTAAATATTTAAAACCCTGAAGGAAGGAGACAGATGTTTTTATATTGTTCTGACTTTATGAACTTGAAATGTTTTCTAATCCTCTTTGTTTGCTCCAGTAGCTCAGTATTCAGTGTCATGACTGAAAGTGCCCTAACTGAATGTGTATGAACCTTTTTCTTGCACAGTTCTTTAAATTGAAAAAAAAATAAAATAATATTTTTACCTCACTATGGGAACATACATTCCAAGCTTTTCAACTTTAAAAAAAAAAAAGAATAATCATAAGTTTTCTTGTATTGTAAATTCTAGACTATTTCATATGCATTCTATTAAAACTGCCATATCAATTTTAATGTATAGATTTTGCAAATACTACACTATGTATGTAAGACGTAACTGTATCTGTAGTGTATATGTAATATATTTATGCCCAATAAATGTTTTAATTCTTTCTGATACTCCCAGGAGTTTTCTTAATTGAGTACAGCCTTTGTGTGGCCCCTTCCTTGCAGGTCAGGGGTGTTGCTGCAGCCTGATGCAGGACCCCCATATTTAACTCAGGGTGTTTCTGCTTCGTAATTGGAATTATTTTGTGTTCTTGGTGAAGTGTTTGCTGGTGCAGTGCAGCAGTTCATGGCATAACCTGTTCTTAGACTGAGCTAAATAGGCTGTAGGTGATGTTCAGCCAGGTCCTTACCTGTACCATGCACCTCAAGGCTGCTGGTGTTTTGACCTACCCATCATCCAGGTGAATGTCAAATTCCTTCTCAGGTGAGCTGGTTTTTGTAGCCCTCTGTTTCCTCATCTGGGGGGAACTGTGGTCCTTCCCTGGGGCTGCCTAGCCTGGGCAGGAGCAGTGAGCTCTGTCCTACACTTTCCTTCCCTTGCTGATGTACAGGGAGCAAAAGTGTTGAGCAATAATACTAGAGTCAACTTCCTCCTGTGATTTCATCACTCCCTTTAAATAGCTTGTGAGAAAATTTAAGGATGGTAAAAAACACCTGGGATTTGTTATCTCTTTGTAATGAATTAATCTGATATTTATGCATGTTTCTTGGCAAATATATTAATGTTTGTTTTTAAACAGTTTTTCATCCTCAAATGACTCCATAAAAACAGCATTTTTTTTGCTTACTTTTTTAACTATGGCAATTTGCAACATGAGTGGGGTTTTCCTAAGGAAATAGTCATTTTTTTACTTGGCTGCTCAGCACTTTTTTTTTATTTAAACAGTGCTTGCCTAAACAATCTCTTTTTGACAAAACTTTTCAAAGATGTCTGTGGAACAGTGCTCACTGTTCTGATACCTGAAGTGGTCTTTTCTTCTCAGTAGTCCCTGGTTTCCTGTTTGCCATGAGTGTCTGCAGAGAGGATGGAGAACAGGTAAAGCCCATGGGAGTGAAGGGGGATTTGGGGATTTACTCTTTGAGCTCTGAATGTTGTTTTTTAATTTTCTCACCCACAGGTTTGGTGCAGAGGTGCTGGGTCCCTTTCCCACACCCAAACTAGCCAGATGTGAAGTAAGTAGCACCAGGTTTCCTATAGATTTGATTTTACAAGGAAGTAAGGAGCAAGTTGTAGCCGGGCTTGGGTAACACTGTATTTAACATCTCCTGCCTCCTCGTACCTGTTGGGAGAAAAATATCTGCAGGGGCTCATATTTTTAGATCTTTTTGTGGCCTTACAGACAACCTTTAGGCTGGTTCAGTGGTTGGTTGTGGACTGTGGCACATGAGATATTTGAGTAATGTCCAGGTCTGCCTGCCTGCAGCCAAGCGTGGTTCAGGTTGGTGGCTGCTGTTTCTATAGCAGCAGCCATTCTCTCTTCTCAGTAATCAAGCAACCTGCTCAAAAACAGAACGAATAGAATTTGTTTTGTTTATGGCTTCCAGTCACTGTTGCAAGTTCAGAGCCCATTTGGTTCTGTGGAGAAGAGTTGAGCTCTAGGAGGGGAGGCTCCATATGAGAAACCACTGTATCAAAAGATTTAGCACTATCTGAGCCAGCCAGTCCCAGGACAAGTGAAGAAACAGGATCCACAGATAGCATCAGTCCATGTTCACCTTCTGCAGAGGTTTTTCTGCTGGTTTCATTCAAGTCTTGGAATTTTAGGATATGCTCCTATTCAGCCTGTTATAAGTAGCACTTTCTTGAGGGGAGGTAGAATTAACTCCAGCCTTCGTGTCAAGCTCTCCTGATGCTCCTTCCTGTCTTGAAACACAGCAGAGGGATTTGAAAATACCTGAAAATGAGTCTTTGGGAGCTCCAGGGTGTGTGTTGCAAAGCAGCATCCCTTGAGCTGCTCCTCCCTTGGCCAGGGGTCAGCACAGCTTGTGTCCTCAGCCAGCTGGCAGATTGGCTGGGTTAGCTGAGGTCTCCAGATCCGCAGCTGGAGAACTATTCCCTGGGGAATCCTGCTTTTCTTGTCTGAACAGAGGAATGCTTGTACCTTGCACAGGGAGCTGGTGGTGGCGGTGGTAGCTCAGTGCTTCATCATCTGACTCATTTGTGCGCTGAGTTACACTGCTGTGCTGTGTTTGGTGCCTGTGGGGCAAGACTGGTTCCTTCTCGTGCGTGGGGCAAGGGATGGAGGGGAAGGTCCATCAATACTGTGAGTTGTAGGTGAATAGGAGAGCAGCTCCAGCCCCTGCCCATCTCCAACTGGTGATTTAAATTGCTTCTCTTAATTGTCCCCAGTATATTCCTGTCCTTAAAGGTGGCAGATGTCATGTGAGAGTTTATCTTAAATGGTAGAAAGCAGTGGGATGAGCTGAACTGCTCAGCTCCTGCCAGACCCTGACCAAAGCCCCTTGCTGTCCTCCTGCTTGCCCAAATGTTTGCTCAAGATGACACAAGTGGCACAAAGAGATTGGTTCATGTTTTTAAAGACAACTACTGCTGCAACCTGACCTTTACCCCTTCATTCCAAACCGAAATGAATCCTTCAAGATCTCAGCAAAGCCTGAGCAATTTATGGACTAGGGAGATGGGGTGATTCTCTCCAGCATCAGTGACACCTTCATGAGCCTCATGGTTTTGTTTGACTTGTCTGCACCCAAAAGTATTAGAGAAAAGTCAAATAGACATAATTGTGGAAATGTGGTGTATAAATTGTATTACCTGTGCAAATCTTTTTTCTAGAATTACTGAAGAATTCATGATGTAGTATGATTTCTTGAAGTGATGTAGAATTATATTCTCTGTTCTTAATATTCACTTGCCTTGGAGTGAAGACAGAAATGTCCTTGTTCTTCTGAGAACCACAGGTAAGTTACGGAGGAAGTTAAGAACATCTTGTTTCAGTATTTTTATGGCTGAAAAGAAAAAGGCAGCTGAGATTCTTTGAAAGGGCTATTTCACTGGTATTACTTTTACTAGGTGCTAAATGATGGCATCTGGTTTTACTCTCAAAAATTGCTGTCTCACAATGCACAGATTCTTGGCTGGGGGAAATGAAGAAAAATAAGGTTTCACAAG